AAAAAAAAACCACGCAAACCTAAAACTTCTTGAATTCAAGCATTTTTTGAGAAAACTGGCAGCATTTCCTGATCGATGGTTCACTTTCTAAAAAGGCCATTTACTTCTCTCTAGAATGATGTACAAATGAGCGTTACAACGACGAATTAATGCCCAAATAGCCATTGTTTTACGACGCCGCTGAGGGCCGGGTAGTCCAAGAATATACTTCTACGCCACAGAATTGGATGCGACCGTTTATTTTTGAAACGCCAGAGGCAATAAATAAACTGGTAGCACAGATCCAAATACGGCTTTAAAAACGAATGCTCTGAAAAAGGATCGAAATCGAGCATTTGGTATAAGTTGCCCATATGTGCGAGCTTTACCCAAATCGGACAAGGCAATGTCCCGCCTTGCCACACAAACGTCGTAAAAAAATATACTAAAATAAAAAATAAAAATCAATAGCAAAATACCTAAACAAACGCACTGTTCCGGGAAGCATTTGAGCAGAAATTCAAATGTTTTCATTGAATTGGTGATGTGTAGGTGATCATTGAGATTAGTTTACTAATAATTGCTATTCATTCGTTTCCGAAAGATACGTATTATGTCAAATAAACGTTAAACCTTATATTGATTGCGATCGTGAGCTAAAAAAATAAATGATATCACTTTTATTGTGTCTCATAATTGAATATATTTGCTGAACAATAGCGTTGGCCCTGACGTGTTATCATGGATGATGAAAATTTTAACTCGAACTGTGATAAAACCCACTTCAAATGCATTAAGGAATTCGGATCATATTTTCCAAGACTCTAAAACTTGTCCAGTTATTTGAAAATCTTCTTTTCTTGTTTTATCACAATGCATATATTTCGATTAGCGTGTAGTACAATCTATGCGTGTTTTTAAGCGATGACCACTTATGTAATCAACATGTATCCGCTCATTGACGTCCCAGTGATCAACGTATTCTTAAAATTCCGATGACTAAAGTCTTTGACAATATTCAGATTAAAAATAATACCAAGAGGATGACTAATGCTCCATGTTTAGATTCACTCGCTACTAGCTAACCAGTTAAAAAGTCTTATAAAAACGGTTGGGAAAAATCTAGTTGGTACATTTAGAATAACGACATTTAGAATATTATCTTGTTTTATTGTTGGGAGGCATTTCAGTTGATCGGTACCACAATTTACCGGTTACATGGAGTTAAATGGAGTTTTCTTCCTTCCACTTTACCGAATCGATTTGACATGAAGTTAATTCGTATTTGACGCAATACTAATTGCAATGTGTGTCAATTTCAACCACTTCTGTGTGTCAATGTCACTTGAAATTTTTTTTGAACCAACAAAAGTTGATCTGTCATGCCACTTTTCCATATCTAGCCACATGTAAAGAAATAGTTCGAAAAAAAATTAAAATGTTGCGATTTTTCGAAATTTTACATTTAATTTTTTTTATCGAAAACAAAGCTTCCGATATGGAGCACTATCCAACGGCTCTGTTCAACGTTCCAGCTTTCACAGTTTTAGAGAAAATCGCGAAAATGTGGTTTCCAAATGTTCCAAATTTGATGGAAAAAAATAGAGTCCAGTCGTTCCAATGCCACCTAGATACAAAGCCCAAGCTCTTACGCGTGACGTCATCCTATCTGGCCAAGTTGATTTTCCTTTACGAGGGCGTATCTTTACGAGTACGGATATCTAGGTGGCTTTGGTCGGTCGGCGGTCCCAAGCTGAATAAAAAAATTGGTATTCACTTTTTCACTACGATAAGCGAATAATTGACGATTTTCCAAAAACATGCAAAATGTAATCCAAGGCAATCCATTTGCATCCGTTTTATGTATGGATTGTCTGCATCCGCTAATGCGGATTTCGTTATGTTTAACCAATATTGGTAACTTAAAAACAGTTGAAAATCAATATATAAATACAGTAAAGTCCGCTTATAATGAACCCGGTTATAGTGAACTTTCGGTTAAAACGAACTTTTCTCCTTTAATTGAAACGTCGTCCATAAAGACCAACGTATTTTTTTACTGGTTATAACAAACCCGTTTATAACGAACTTCCGGATATAACGATCACTTTTTGGGTTAGTTGTATATTCACTTTCCGTTTATAACGAACTTCCACGCTCAGCAACACCAATCCTGAGTTGTTTATATTAGTGAGAGCGAGAGACAGGCAGTGACTTGTTTTTTGCCGCGTTATGTATGTAAATCGTTTTAGAATGGAAAAACAAAAACGCAAAGCTTTTTCACTAAATGAAAAGTTCGAGATTATTAACAAAATGAAAAGTGGAGTAAAGCAGAGTGACATTTGTAAGGAATGAGCACTTGGAAAGTCTACTGTTGCAACAATATGCAAAAACAGAGAAAACATTTTATCAGCGT